TTTGAGCCATTTCTTCCTCCTTTGAGTGTGGGGAAGGCATGGGCTATCAGCCTAGCTCCAAAGTTTTACATGCCCACCCTGCATTATCCATGTACAAATTCTCCAAAGTATCTAATTCAGCTCACTGCCATCCACATGGACTGAGCAGGCAGCAAAATACGAATGAAAAAATCTGCAGAGCATTTTTCCTTATTCAGTCTTGCTTCACTGTAAAAAGAAAGGGTAAAATGAAGTTTTCCAAAGAAGGCACTTTGATATACAGCTGCCTCTTTTTAGTGGGTTTTAGAACATTCCTTAAAAACAGTCTTGGATTTTATGTCTTTTATGGCAACAAATAGTCTCAATAAACCCTGAGATACTCATCCTGGATTCAGTTGTTCAATTCCTAGCAGATTTTCCCTTTTGTAACTAAGGTAGTCACAACTACCATTTGAGATCTTTTGGGCTTATGTTCTTAGATTTTTAATTACTGACACCCACTTCTCAGGAACCTTTCTTGAATTCTCTAAGCCTTGTCTTGCTTCCAAACAATAACAACTTGACTGGGTGTTTATTACTGTTGAATTTACACACACAAATATATCTTTCTGTCTTATTTCTCAAAAAATATTTGAGACAGCTAGAGAAATAAATAAATTCCCAAAAAAAGATAAAATAAGAATCCCAGAACCCAGGAACCAAAGGAAAGGAAATATTGAAGTAGATACTGCACAAGTATGATTGAGGCTGATGTGAGGCTGTGGATTTTGCACTGGGCTTTATCAACGGCCAAAGCAAAGAAAGAAACCATGCTGAGATTCACAAGATCTGAAAGTTAGAGACACAATGGTTGTCATGAGGAAGTGCAGCTTTCCTGAAGACTGAGCCCTAAAAGAATGTATTAGATGACATTAAATATACCTTGTGATTATCACATGATTTTTTTCCAGAGCATCCCCTAATGTAGGCTGACAGCTCATTATCCAAAGCTAATTCAGTTAAAGCCTGCCTAGGAGGGACACAACCTATTCTCAACTGCAATCAATCTCCTCTTTCAGAATGAAGAGTTCTTAACTCTATTCTGACCTGCCTATGGCTTCTGTCTTGGGTAGCAGTATTAAAACAATTCATTTCAATTAGAAATTGCTGAATTACAAGGAGTTGTTCCTTGTTAACTTAAATGAGATGACCTAAGGTAGTACAATACCTGGCAAAAGTACAAGATAAAGAAGTGTGACTTTCCATCACTTCCTTATTTTAAGGGACTGTGGTGACTTCGCCAGAGGAGATGGTAAATGTGGCCATGTAGAATAGTGAGAAGATCACCACCTACCTTAGAGCCAGGAAAACAGGTCTGTTACAGGCTTTGTCACTGAGGTCTCATAGCCTTGCTTTCCTGTGCTGTGGAATCTAGATAATAATCAATGAATAAGTAAGTGGTGTAAAGAAAATAAACTAAGACAATATGGTAGAGAGTATGTGGCTGGTTGTAGACAGGTTAAAGCAAGTAGTAAGGGAGCAAACTTCTTTCAGGAGCTGGGACCTGAGGGACAAAGGAAATTCTGGGCCAGGCAGAATGGTGCATAATACCAGTTACATTGGGAGGATTGTGACAGGAAGCCAGCCCAAGCAAAAAGTTAGCAAGATCGTGTTTCAATCAATGAGCTAGGCAGTGGTGGTACCCATTTGTAATTCCAGTTATATGGAAGGCCAAAAGTAGGAGGATCACAGTTCAGGCAAGTCCCTGACAAAAATGTAAGACCCTATCTAAAAAGTAACTTTAAAAGCAAAAAGGGCTGGAGGGCTGGCTCAAGTGGCAGAGCTCAAGTACAAGGCGCTGAATTCAAACCTCAGTACTGCAAAAAAAAAAATAATAATTCTGAGTATTTCAGGTAGAAGGAAGAGCAGTAGGAAGACAAAGGTAGAAATGAACGTGGTGTGTTTGAACAGCAGCGACTGCAGCACTGCCACTGGAGAATTAGAGGGAGCCAGACAGGCAGGGGCAACTCATGCAGGCTCTCGCAGCCAGCTCTTCTCAAACTCTCCATGATAAGGAATTTTTAAAATAATTTTCCAGTCACAGACTAATATGTGATCTCAGTAAGTAGGGACAGTTCGCAGCTCATATCCCATGATCGTCACTGTGCAAAGTTGACAACCCCAACTGCACTATTTAATGAGACTACTGATCGTGTGCTTCAATGTGTGGCCTTGTCAATTGCTGTGGAAGTTTCTAAATGCTGACTTCCAGTTTCTGTCCTTATTTTATTTTTTGGACTTGCCATCCATGGATTTGCTGACAACACTTTGAGTAACGCATGGAAAGAACCTCTAAGCCCACTGCAAAGTATTTACCGGGAAGGGAGAAAAAGGAGAACCAAAGACTCAAGGATAGCGATGGAGAAAACCAATGGAGGACAAATGAGAGGAGGCAACAGAAGTTCTGTGTTGAACACATTAAGCCAGAGACGTCCAGACCTCTGAGGGGAGAAGTCAAGTGGGAAATTAGATATAAGTCTGGGGTTCACAATTGAGGTCAAGCCTACTGTCATGACAGCCTTCATTTAAAGCCAAGGTGAGCTCAGTTACCTAGCATGTGTTGTAATGAAAGAGAAGAGATTCTAGGACCTAGACCTGGGGACATTCTGATGTGAGAGTTTTGACGCCATCAGTCTCAACATCCAGAAAGTTTGATTGTAGCACTCATGAAATGCCAAAGCTTCACAAAATACAGACTAAAATTCCAGTATCATGATGCTGTCACATGGTGGAAGTCAAGATGCACACGACTGAATGAATGAGGTCCCAAATGCCCTCCAACTCTGAGATTTTGTGATTCTGTTATTATTTAAAATTTTGTCCCTCTGTGATGTCATGGGTTGAACAATGCCTCTCCCAAAAGATAAGTCTATATCCCCAAACCTGTGAATACGGTCATACTTGGAAAAAGAGGCTTCTTTGCATATGTAATTGAGTTAAGCATCTTAAGCTGAGTTATCCAGTGGTCCCAAATCCCATGACAAGTTTCCTTATAAGGGACAGACACAGAGGAGAAACACAGACAGTAGAGGGATGCTCTCCATGGCAGAGATTAATATGTGGTAGATTCAAACCAAGGAAGCCAAGGATTTCCGGCAGCCACTGGAAGGGGCAAGGATTAGCATTATCAGGCTTGTCGGTGGACACCAGCCCTGCCAACACCTTGATTACAGACTTCAGGCCTCCAGGATTGTGAGAAACGAAATCTCTGCTGTTTTAAGCCACCCAGTTTGTGGAAATTTGTTACAGCAGCCTTAAGAAGCATTAGCATGGCATCATAGCTGATGTTACTGCAAAACTTCTGAAGCTCTGCTTTATTCTCATTTAGTCATTCACAACTCTGGCTACACAGTAAAATCAACTAGAATTTTATAAACATTCTGACATTTAGGGTCACATCTTCAGAAATTCTGATTCTATGGGGCTGGAGGACAGGTGACATTGGGGTCCACTCAGAGGTGAGAACTGCCACGGAATTAGTCACAACAACTTAATGTCATGTGTGTGTGTGTGTGTGTGTGTATGGGGGGGTGACCCAGAGGTACATGGGGTAGGAATACCTGTATCCCTTTGTTAACCTGAAGAATTTGCTTTGAAATTTAACATTAGGCATTTGTATGTCTATGTATTTTTAGAAACGGGATGAAGCAATTTCACATCAGCCATTTGTCAGATCCATGGCACCAAGACAGTCCTGTTTCCACCATGAAGGGACAAACAGATGTTCTGACAGGTAGCCCTCATTGCCTATGGACTCTACTTGCTGCACCCAGAAGCATCAGGGGCATATTGCTTTCTTGAATGAAGCTTGATAATGCTTAACTTTATTATAGTTCCATAGTAGAGGAAAAAATTATTTTGGTGGTATTGGGGTTTTGAACTCAGGGCTGCAAGCTTGCAGTGCCTACCTTTAATATAAATCAAAAGACTCAGTTGGGGGCCCTCGCAGCAAATTGTCACATGGTGTTCCTTACAATCAAGTAATGATAACTGTCTATTTCCAATGGCCTGATAACCCACGTCAATTTTTAAGACATCTGCTGCGTATATGTACTGAATAGAAGAGGGAGTTATTAAGAGGCGAGAAAAGAATTCCTCATTGTGGAACAAGGCAGTTCCTTGTACCCCAGCCCTAAATCAAGGTTTCTTTATTTTTGAAGTTGTTTGACCTCCTGTGGTGGTCATCCTCGCACGTCAGTGAGCAGTCATGAGAGCAGAGTAGTAAGCAGTGTGTGCTCCTCTGTAAAGGGCCTTTGACGAAGCCCTCACTGCATCTATTGACTCCCCAGGAAGTCTGAGGTCACAAGCTTGGCTGGAGCACAGGAGCCCAATGAAGAGGATGGTTTTGCTCTCCTGAAACAAAGCCAGAAACTTTATCTGCCTCATTGTGCACTTTGGGTCATGTGCTAACGATGAGGATTTCTCTAGTTATAATCCCCCTAATGATGGCTTCTCCCAGCCCTTCCAACAAACCCCATCAGGCCCCGTGGCTTGGCAAGCCAGACAGAATAAAGGCAGCACGGTGTTTGGCTTTTGAACTGAGTTCAAGGCAATTAAAGTCAAGAGCTGGGGAGGGAAGAAGGAGGCTTAGAAATACCAGCATAATAAGTAGTATGACTGGAGCACTCTGTAAATTAACTCAATTAGACAAAGCCTGATTTAACGGGGGAAGACAGCGAGAAGTGCTACCCTCATTAAATCGGCTGTTAGAGGAGCTTCTAATGAAATTAAATTTGTGGTAGCTTTTTGAATCACATAAAACAGCATGTGCCTAAGCGCGTACACACGTGCACATGTGTAGGTTCTGTGATTTTTGTGGGTATTTTTTTTTAAGAGGAGAGGAATAGAATGTAAAAAGTAATATCCCCAAAAAGAGGCTTGAATGACTGAGTGCTAAAGAACTCAAGAGTGGAACACGAGGAGAAAGGCCAGCCAGAAAGAAGCAAGGAGTGGAAAGGACAAGAGTTCTCTCATACACAGCCATGAGCCTTATGCAGTGGGGGCTTCTGTTCAGTTGCCTGGGCTGCAGGATCCTGCCTGGGGCCCAGGCCCAGTTCCCCCGGGTCTGCATGACCTTGGGAAGCCTGGTGAACAAGGAGTGCTGCCCGCCACTGGGTGTGGAGCCAGCCAATGTCTGTGGCTTTCAAGAGGGCCGGGGGCAGTGCACAGAGGTGCAAACAGACACCAGGCCCTGGAGTGGCCCCTATGTCCTGCGAAACCAGGATGACCGTGAGCAGTGGCCAAGAAAGTTCTTCAACCGGACGTGCAGATGCACAGGTGAGGCCCCTCAGGCAGATCTGGCTATACTCTGAACTTGGTGGAGAGGGCCCAGGGCCCTGGCTGGAAAGCAGCCCCTTCTAAGGGAGAGGTGAGACTGCTGACAGAGACTGCTAACTAGGCTTTGAAAGGCAAGCCAGTTGTGTTTTTGGTAGCAAGCGTGCTCAGTAAGGCTGATGTCTTGGTTCCATTCTTCCTAACCTCTAGTATACCCAGTTATGAAAACTAAATAAGTACTCTACAGGCCAAGTGTGGTTTTATGAATGCATGCCAACTTCCAACATAGCTTTGGCTTGTTTGTTGGAAGGGGAGACTAAAGGGCTGGAAAGTCAGCTTTAAAGCAGAACAAGTCCCTTCAAGACAGATGGGGTACACTCTCCTGAAATGGGTTTGCACTTGCTGAGGATGGGTGGGGTGCGGCTTGGCCTTGGGAGGCAGGAGTGGAAGGCAGATGCTCTGCAGTCCTGGCCTCAGCATTTCTTATGACTGGGCAGACTTCAAGCAGGGTCTATCTTCCTCCATAAAACTATGACTAGGCAGGGCTTTTGCCAAAGATGAGGAGAGGGGCAAGACAGCTTCCTCAGTGAGGGAAAAGGAGGGCTGTTTTTGGGTAACTCTGGTCTGAATCCAAAGAGGGCATTTCAAAATTTTTTAGGCATCCATCTTTTTAGCTCTTACTACTTTTTTTTTTTTTGTAAATCTCTGTGCATTCCTTATCCTCGGCTCTTCTGGGACCTCTCAAATCCTCTTCAGTCGAGCTTCCCTCTGGTTTTCAGCAGCCATGCACAGCAGTGATAAATGCTCAAAGGCTGGCAGGACATTTGAAACACAAAAGCCACAAACAGCAGCTTTAACAAAGCCCCTTGGACACTGCTTTTTGGTGGCTGGCTGCATAAGACTTTTTCCTTTCTAAATTATTTCTTACTTCTGTTCTCACATGATGCTGGAGCATAGGAGAATAGAGATAGCTGAGCTGTGTTAGGGTACCTAAGGGAAGGTACAAAGGCTGGTGATGTTGATGGAAGAATGACATTACTTTGGTCTCTTTTTAAAGTTAAAAGTTGTGGTTTTATAATCATTTTGTATATTTATATATACATATATATAATAAGTAGTATTTATTTATTTATTGCAGTGCTGGGGATTGAACCCAGGGCCTTGCCCATGCTAGGTAAGCACTCTTCCATTGAGCTATATGCCCAGTCTTTGCAATTATAGTTTTAATTATATGAGTCAAAGGAATTTTTAGGTCCTAATATTGTCCTGGGTATTACTTGTAACAAAAATTTTAATAGCATAGTGAATATATCTTATCCACTTTTTCTAAGCTGTTAAAGCACCTGCCTCTATAAACATTGCCTCATAGTTTCTCCTGGTTTTTCAGTCTTATGAGGGCACCAGCTTTCACAATTCCTGTGTAATTGGAAACCACACTAACACAGCAACTTCTTTGTCCCAAACCTCCAAATATGTCTACTGCAACTTTTCCCATGTCAAATGACAAAATCCCATGACTTTCAAAAGTTGGGAATCTCCATTTCACAGAATTCTGGGGCAGGAGATTTTGAACAGATGCAATTGTTAATTTCTTATCTCCTTCCCCTTTTTATTTCTTGACGTGGAGAGCACATTTTTCACATTTTTATTGGTGCATAGTAATCGTACACCATGGGGCTTTCATCGTGGTGTTTTCATACATGGTATAACATACTTTGATCGTATTCACCCCCTCACGTTTATTTTTAAAAGGTGGGATGGAAAGAACAGAGAATATCAGAATAGAAGGGATAATTGCTATTTCTCTTTGCTGAGGGAATGTTTTAAAATATTCTTTCAGCAGTGGTAGGCGATCTACTTTCAGAACAAAAGGGGGGTCCCCTGCTTCAAAGGCAATGGACCAGGAAAAGGTCTTGTCCTGAGAGTCCTGCCTGGAAGACCATCTTATGTTCCCAGGCCAGTCCACAGAAGCCAGGCTCTCTCAGAGTGCATGGTCTCCATCTCAGCCACTGTCATGGCCGTGCTCCCGTGTCGCCGTCCTCAGTGTGTGGCTTACCTCTTCATCTGCGATTTGCTCTGGCCAGACTCACTCAGGACCATTGCTTATTCCAAGTTTGTGTGCATGTGTGGTGTTGTTTTTTAGGGTTACTTAAGATTTTCTGTACCCATAAATTTCATTTAATAGCCTTTTCCTTTCTTCTAGCTTTAACAAGGTATAATTGGTATACAAAATACCACACATAGTGTGTGCAATCTTGTGCATTTGGATACGTGTATGTCCTAGAGCTCCTGTCACCACAATCAAAGGAATAAATGTATCCATCACCTTTAAAAGTTCCCTGGGTTGTTTTGGTATCTCTTGGTTGTTTTGTTTTGTAAGAACATGTAACATGAGCTCTCCCTGTTCGCACGTTTTTAAGTGCTTACTACCTTATTGCTAACTACAGGCACTGTGTAGTAGAGCAGATATCTGGGATTCACTCACCTTGTGTCACTATAACTCCTTCTTCATTGAGCAGGAGCTCCCAATGTCCCCGCCCCAGCCCCGTCCCTGATGCTCAAGAATCTGTTGTCTACTTCTGTATATTGACAGAAAGTAGTATATGACTACTTTAGATGCCTCATTTAGGAGGAATCCTTTAGTATTCATCCTTTTGTGGCTGATTTCACTTACTACAGTATCTTCTAAATCCATTCTATGTATTGCAAATGGTAGAATTTTCTTGGTTTAAGGCTGAATAATATTCTATTGTGTTTCCATACCAACTTTTGGATGACTCCACTTATGTTGAACAGATGGTCTTTGTTTTTGAGTCTTGGTGGTGCTAAACTAAGTCCTCAGAGACTGAGATAGAAAGTTTCATTGTGTATATAGTAATCTCATTCTGGGATGTGTCAAGTGTCCCAAAGCAAGACAAATGCCCGTCTATGTTTTTTCTCCACCAAAGAGGGAGTTGCTTGCCTTAGTAGGGTATCCTTTTCAAAGTAGTATTTAGATTTTAATCCTGATCTTCAGTCTCCCAAAAGCCCTCCTCTCTGGTAGCCTCCTCATTCTTTTGCAAATAAAGTCCCTGAACTCTTCTGGGTCATCCAAAATTTCATAAGGCAGAGGAGCTATGGATTAGCTTCTGGCCATCAGACTATTATAATCTTGATATTTGTAATTTCATTGGGAAAATAAGTACCTATAGATTATGTGGCTGGTAAAAGAACTGGATCCTCATAAATAAGAGGCAAATACAAACTCTGATATTAAAAACTCTTAATTCTATGTTCAAATTCGCAGTAGAGAACTTCTCTGTTCTCTAAAGGGATAAATTGAAACAAATTTATTGAACTTAATTATCAGGAAGAGCTGGATCTCAGGAGACTTTGGCAATCACCATTCAACTTCTAAGGTTTACTTGCCAGTTGGCTTTTATGAGACTATGTCAGTTGCAGCTATGTCTTTGGGCTTTTGAAAAACTTGAGCACCAATAGTTTTTGAACAGTTGGCTGAGAATGTCTTGTTTGTACAAATGACTAAGTGCCTCCATTTTCCAATCTCTGAAATGGGGATAATGATGAAACCACACTTGTAAAATCTTTTTGAGCTCTGTAGATGAAAGGACCTATGTAAGTATAAAGTATTGTTATTAAAATAATAGAACCTCTAATTAAAAGGAATAGACTATTTAGAGTTCCTTGTAAATTCACTAATCGGTGGTCGTTAAGCTTATTTAGTCTAATAGCTTTCTGAGTTTGAGCTGATGCTGTGCATGTAGGAACGTGTGGTGTTTAGATCTTCTTTCTCTGTTTATCCCAGTCCTAAGTCAGTGGAGGACTCTGACTCTTCATATTTAATTTCTGCTCAAGGATATGCTCACTGGGAGATAGATTGCTATCATCTATTTTAAATCCCTCCCTCTCCATTTCCCAGTAAGAGAACACAATCTTTTTCTAAAATGTCCCACTTCTTATATTTCTTACTACTAGCAGATTAAAGGGAAAAAATAGTTCATGTTAAATTGAAGTAAGGTACTACCAGGAAATCTGAATTAAAGGAATTAACATTTTATGTGCCAACTTTTCACCGTCTTACACTTTTCATTTGTCCTTGGCATTTTCACAAGTTCTTTTTTCTCCTTCACTTTGTAAGTGTAGGGTTAACCCATACTTTCCTATGATGACCTGTTGCTTCCCCATGTAATATCTGCAACACTGAATTGCAGGGATTGTGGCGTGAGCTCAAATGTGAAAGGTTTGTGAAGCTTTGGTATATTTTCTCTGGGGCATGTTGAAGGAAGTTTTTAATTGAGCACATTTCTGGATCACAAGTAAGCTGAAACCCAGATTAAAAAAAAGCTTTCTTATTAGTATATATACATTTTGTGTGTGTCGGGGGTGCGGCACTGGTTACATTAAGTTTCCTTGTTCCCTACAAGTGTAAAGCATCTCTGATCTTCTGACCAGCGTTGTCATCGTGTTTTCTGTCATCCAACAGAACTTGGTCTTTTCCTGTTTTCACTTTTCTCACAGTAGGACTTGTGTGGACATTTCATGGCTCACACACTCTTCATTTCCAGTAGGCTACAACACCATGCGTCTTTTCATTTGTATCTCCTAGCACCTAATACGTTCTATGCTTCTTTCAACACCCATCCAATCAACATTTATTTAGTACTAATTACGTGAACCCTTTGTGTATAGAGAGGGGAAAGGTTGACATGACTTCTAAGCAAGATAGATATGAAAACAAATAATTGCTGTACTATTTGATAAGTGCTATCTCATAATGTTAGTAATAATAACACTTGAGATAGAACTTACTGTAGCAGACGCCATTCTGTGTGCTCCATATTAATGTGCTCATTTTTCCTAAGAACTCTGAGAAATAGAATTCTTACCCTGATATGACAGGTGCTAAAAGGTTACGCTCAAAGTCACCAGGTGTGGCAACTTGTCTGAATGCACAAAAAAAGCAAGTTGGAGTTGCTGTTTTATTTGAGGAGAATATTTCAAAAGTACAGTTTAGGGTCACAACAAAATTGAGTCAAAGGTACAGAAACTTCCCATTTGCTCCGGACAACCCTGGACACCCAGTCTCCCCCAGGATCGAGGCATGTTTAGTTTTGCCTGCCCTTTAGGTTGTGGATATTCAACCAATTATTTATTGAACAAACAAATAAGTAAGATAATTAGTTATTGATAATTTTGTTTCATAAATCATGTTAAAAAGTATAGTCTTGAAATTAATGGCATAAACTATGAGTTACTCAATTTCAATGAGACTCCAAAATTCAAAAACAATTTTTATGCCGTTAAATGTAAGAATTTATTACTACAACATTGAGGTGTGGCATTTCTTAGCATTTAAAAAATGTTTTTAGAACTCTTTTAGATTCACAGCAAAATTGAGCAGAAAGTAATCTATCCTCTGCTTCATACATTACCCCTCCCATACCCATTTTCCACTGTCGGCACCTGCCCCACCCTGGAATGTGTTCCTTTCCCATGATAGAGAGGTGATTGTAGATTTACCTCTGATATCTGACCAGACTTTAGGAAAGCAGCTATAAGTTTGACTGAATTCTCATTTAGACAATTAATATTCTTCAGAGACAGATTTTGTTCAATTGCTTCTCAAAAAATGCTCTATTCCTATAAAAACTGTCAGAGGAATTTTTTTTTTGTTTTTTGTTTTTGTTTCATCCTCTTCTTGCTCTTCCCTCCTCCTGAAAGAAAATAAATTGCTTCCAGGTTTCATGAAGTCTGAAGCATACCAAAGTGCATGCAATGTTATAGCTTCGTTCCACCAATCAATATAAATTTCAGTGGCAGACTATTCAAAAACATGATTTTCAGTCTGGAAGTAGTAGAACTTTTCATCTTAAGTATTTTTACCATCAAATATTTTTCCTTGTAAATATTTTTGCTTATGTTCTCATATGGTACTGAAGGAGAAAATATAGGTAATGGAGTTATGTAAGAGTAGGTAGAATATTTTATGTAACAAAGGAGCATAGAACACCAATAAACAATTATTATTCAATTTAATCCTTCTTACCTATTATAATTTTAATGAACACTTCTTTAGCCATCAAGAAAAATCCACCAAGTCCACACAAAGGGAAGCCTGTACATTTTCTTTATAGAGTACAAAGTCTGATCATTTTGTTTTCATATTGTTGGAAAATTCTTATTTTCTTTAGAGATCCAGATAACCCCCTCTCTCTCCTATGGTCATGGTACTTTTACTTACCTAGTTTTGGTACTTAGTTTATCCAAATTACTTATAGGGACTGATTTTCCTGCTAATCTCTCAGGGTAGGGAAGAAAATGTCTATGTATTATCTGCTCCTGCTTTATAGCTCCTTTGTTCATTCAACCAACATTCATTTTGTACAAGGTTAAGCACTCAGCTTGAGTTCCCTGCCCTTCTGCCACAGTCTAGAGACGTTTAGCAGTTGGTGTGACATACGTGAATGAAAGAGGGACTACAAGGCACTGTGAAAGCACAGCCCAGGCTCATCTGACGCCGATATATGGAATCAAGAATGACTGTGTAGGGGCTGGCTGTGTAGAGCAGTAGCAGAGCACTTGCTTATCATGCAGGAGGCCTTGGGTTCCAATCCCAGCACTGTAAAAGACCATATAGAGGATCCATCATGAAGCCTAAAGGAGGGCCATATAGGCCAGGCACAGAAGAGGTTAGGAAGACAGAGAGAAGTGTTCGAGGCACAAGAAGAGCAAGTGAAGGGGCCCACTTCAGGGCATGAAGCGGAAGAGGCTGAACAAGTAAGTTGGTCACCCATGTTAAATGCATCACAGCACTCCCTTTAATCTTCTGGGAGCATTATTATCCTCTTTTGTTTCAATCTTTTGATCCAATAATGTCTAAACTCTTAAAGAATGAGGAACTGGTTATGTCCAAAACAATAATACACAACGCTGAGAAGTGGAGAGGGGGTAGTCAAAAAGCAGGCTAAAAGAATTTAAGCTGGAGATGCAAATCTGAGACATCTTAGAGCTCGATGACACCAGTCCTTGTCCCTGGGGCATTGATAAAGCAGGATCATGGTACTGCTGATAGCAAATGCTGCAGGATTTACACTTGCTGATATCAGGGCAGCTAATTCACCTTTATGACCTGCCAGTCGCCATTGATTTTGTCTTAACACTGTCTCCTTTGTGAAATAAACCAGTGTTTTTAATGTTAGATTCTACCTGACTTCCTGGAAGTCAGCTTGTTTATTCATTAATTTTGGTTCCACCTATTCTCTTCCTTCTAAATCAATCGATGGGTCTGTGCCAGCCCTGTGGTGTTTGCCTGGGACAGCAGAGCTCAGCAAGGACATCCGAGGCTGCTGCTCTGCCTAGGTTGGGGACGGAGAGGACATTGGAAGGGGCAGCCCTATGACACACAGAGAGCCCATGTATGCATTTGCTAAGATTGCCGTAACAAAATATGGTGGACAGGAAGGCTTAAACAACAGAAAGATATTTTGTTCTAGTTCTGGAGGTTGGAATCTGAGAAAAGCTGTCAACAAGGTTGGTTTCTTCTCAGACGTCTCCCCTTGGCTTACAGATGTCTGTCTTCTCCCTGCATTTCTACATGGTCCTTCTCCTATGTGTGTCTGTGTCTTTATCTCTTCTTCTTATAAGGACATCAGTCATACTGGTAAAGGCCTGCCTCCGTGAAGTCATTTTGCCTACTTTCCTCTTTAATGACCTGATGCAAACACAGTTATTGCTGAAGTACGGGGGATTAAGACTTGAACTTACACATTTTGAGGGGGACACAATTCAGCCTCTTTGTGTCCTGTTTCATTGCTGAAATGTTTCTAGGGAAGTTTCCAGTGCTGGGTTCCCTTGGATTTTGAGGACACTTGGAGGAAGAAACTAACCTTTTTTTCTTTTTTTGGTTTTAACAACAGAAGTTTATTTTGTCTCAGGTGTGGAGCCTGAAAGTTCAAAGTCAAAGTGTGAGCAGCAGGGATGGTTTCTCCCAAAGTCTCTCTCCTTTGCCTTCTTCTTTACCTAGTCTTCCCTTGTGTGTGTTAGAAAATTGACTTTCTTTGTCCCCTGGTAACCACCTTCCTGTTCTCTTCCATTCTACCCCAGAATTCCAGATCAGCATTTTCTTCTGAACAATATCAACCTTCTTTTTCTTCCATCCTCCCCTTTCTATAAACTAGGAAACTTTGCTGGCTACAATTGTGGAGGCTGCAAGTTTGGCTGGACCGGCCCCAGGTGCAATCAGCGGAAGCCACCAGTTGTCCGGCAGAACATCCATTCCCTGACCCCTCAGGAGCGGGAGCAGTTCTTGAGTGCCTTAGACCTCGCAAAGAAGAGCACACACCCTGACTATGTGATCACCACTCAGCACTGGCTGGGCCTACTGGGGCCCAACGGGACCCAGCCACAGATTGCCAACTGCAGCATTTATGATTTTTTTGTGTGGCTTCATTATTATTCTGTTAGAGATACATTATTAGGTGGGTTTCCCCCTTGGCTTAAGTTTATTATAGACTTGTGATTGAGTGTGGGCATGGGGTGGGAAGTTGTTTGGCACAAGTTAATTAGCAAGGTAGCACCTCAAGGGAGGGATAGGTTTATGGTACCATAGAATTACCAAATACTGCCTGAAGTTTCTTCCTGCACATTGGCTCAAGATACTTCAAATATTCTGTCCTCTAGTTTATCTTCTTGGTTCAAAGTCTGAACTATTCTCTAGGAAGTTATTAATCCTCAAAGGCATGACTGGAGAAGAGTAGGCAATTTTCTTTTGATTCCAGACATTAAAAAAAAATAAATCTGGCCATGGAAGCCCTCTCTGACCTTTTATTTGAATTAGAGGAATTAAGTAAACATGTACCAAGGCACATGGTACTTCTTTTTGCAGAATTAGTGTCCATGTTGGAAGTATATATCTCATTAAACTCATGTATCTTTAGACGTATAGTCAGATAATCACTTACAGTACACAGGCACTGCTAGGAATCCGCAGGGTTTTTTTTAGCTACATTTTCAAGGAGAAGTATAAGCTGAGCCACAGTAATGTAAATTCCTTCTGCTCAGCCTTTCAGGCGATGGTTATACTGGGATGCTTGAGAAGATGGTGAAATGAAAATGATGCTTGAGAAATATTGAGGACCCTTCCAGGTACTAAATATTGGTTCCTGGGCAGGACTTAGAAAGGAAGGTTGTCTGCTATGAATCTCATTAATTGAGTATGTCTAGCTTCATCTTCATTTACTCATCAGTTGGGGAGAGGCTATCACATTGATCCAAGGGAGTTTGAATTCATTCTGGATTCTTCTCATAGCGCTTTTTTTTCTTTATTCACTTATTCATATGTGATACATTGTTTGGGCCATTTCTTCCCCCTGCCCCACACCCTTTCCCTCTACCTTCCACCCCCCTTGCTTGCAGGCAGAGCCTGTTCTGCCTTTTTCTCGAATTTTGTTGAAGAGAAGACATAAGCATAATAAAAAAGGCAAAGCATTTTTGCTAGTTGAGATAAGGATAGCTATACAGAGAGATTCCTAGCATTGCTTCCATGCACAGGTGTATTACAACCTGAATTGATTCATCTCTACCTGACCTCTTTACTACTTCCTGGTCACCTTCCCATATTGACCTCTGTCGTTTTAAGGTTACTGTATTAGCTCCTCTGCAGTGCGGACATCAAACACTTTCAAGTTTTGGGTTTCCTTCCTTTCCCTATTCCTCCTGTATGTGTTCTCCCCTTAGCGTGTGACCCAAGTCTAATAATATCACTGCATTTGTTTTAGATCTAAAGTCTGCATACTTCTCATAGCAGTTTTGCACACTTGGCCATACCTGCAACTGTTTCTACTTTTGGGTTCCTTTACTGGGGTCAGGGCAAATAAAGACATTGAACTCACTTGGAATAGTGAGATTCTCACTTGGTACTGCTCTCCCATGTAGCTAATCACTTATCACCCAATCCTTTGACACTCTCCCATCATTTTATGTGGACAACTTGAAACTTTGCTCAAGTTGAACACTTTTTTTAAAAAGCATAACCACTAGCAGTGACAACAGTACTGTTCTCACTATGAGTCTTTGTAAAAACCTGCCTCACAGGTAAGCATCTGTCTTTCTTTATCGATAGATAAGGAGGCTCTTCTGGCTATAAACCTTTATAGGTTCCCTGTCATCACTCTCAGGAATTTTTGCTTTATGAGAGGGTAGTTTCTCAAGAGGAAAGGAAAACTATAGTTTCTGGTCATATCCAGGAATTGAATTTATATTCATGCCTGTTCAGCTCTCTGAAGTTATTATAGGTACTTTGAAAAAGAACTAAAGTTAGCTAAAGTTTCCACAGAGCCATCAAAAGCTGTTATGAAAGGGGAAAGAAGGATGGAACAGGCAGTGAGGAGGGCATTAAATTGCCCAAAGTGTTTCACTAAAATTGGCAGTTCCAGTGGCCAGGCAAATTGGTGTGAATATATTTTTCTCTCTTCTGGTCTCGACTACCATCTTGTCAGCCAGTAGTTGTAACTGATTGGTGGGTGAGGCAGAATCTGTGGAAGTTCTTTTTGGCTATATAAATGCTGCATTAGGATTAAGTGTGGTAAGGTTTCTATATTATTAATTAATATCCCTTTCAACATTTGTGCATTTGTGAGGAATAGGTTAGAAAATGTCTTTTAAAAATATGTTTCATTTAGACCTTAATAATCTATACCTTTGGGCACTCTACTTTATTTCAGTGCTTTATTTAAAAATTAAATATGTAACAGGGCTCTAAATAGGGAAAGTGATTTGAATTTCCTGGGTTTCTGCTAAAAATAGACTTTGGGGAGACGATATGATTTTATCTTAAAAATGCTAGCTGAAATTCTTTTGTTGTTATTGCCATTATTGCTTTTGAAGAGATAAATAACTATTTTTACTAAGACATCCCAGACTTATTGGCTGCAGAGACACATCCAGGTAATGTTTAGCACTTTAAATATTTTATTCTGTGATCTCTAATGTTTCCCGATTGCTTTAGGACCAGGGCGCCCCTATAAGGCCATAGATTTCTCACATCAAGGGACTGCCTTTGTTACTTGGCATCGGTACCATTTGTTGTGGCTGGAAAGAGATCTCCAGGTTGGTCAAAACTATATGTTGTGTATTTTTTTTTTTTAAAATTATACATTGTGTATATTGTGACATTTACAAAAGTTCTTACAACATACCGTAGTTGAATTCACCCCCTCCATCTTTCTCTTTATCCTCCTCCACCCATTCCTGAAATAGTTTCAACAGGTGTCATTTTTCCATTTTCATACTGAATACCTAATATTCTCACTACATTCAACCTCCTTCACCCTTTCCTTATATCCTCCCCCCTCCCACTGTACCAACCCCCAGACAGGAACATTGTGTATTTTTAATTTAAAACTACATTGTGTATATTTAAGGGGTACTGTCTGATATGATGTTTTGATATACTTATCTTGTATTCATAGTGAAGTGATAACTAGACTTGTTAAGAAAATTATCATACTCAGCATTTTGTGTAGTTACACTTCTTTTGTGTGTGTGTGTGTTAATGGTATCCAAAATCTACTCTCTTGGCAAATTACCAGTATACAGTGTGGTATTGTGAATTGTAGTGCTCATGTTGTACATTAGATCTGCAGACATACTCATCTTCCAATTTCCCTCCCTGGTTTCTAGGTATTTGATGTTTTTCTTTTTTTTAGATTCCACATGTAAGTGAGATCATGCAGTATTTTTCTTTGTGTAAATGGTTTGTTTCAGTCAGTCTAATGTTCTCTAGGTTCATCTATATTATTGCAAATGGTAGGACTTCCTTCTTTATTAAGGCTGAATGATACTGCATTGTGAATATATAATGTTCACCATATGTATTGTATATTAATACCACAGTTTCTTTACTCATCTCTCTGTCTAGTACTCTTAATCTTGCTACAAATTTGGTGAAGATACATACCAGTCTTTGCTTACATGCCTTCTTGTTGCATCTGATGCTTAAGCAAAAACTGGGTCTGCCCTTTGCTTTTAGCGACTCACTGGCAATGAGTCCTTTGCTTTGCCCTATTGGAACTTTGCCACTGGGAGGAATGAGTGTGACGTGTGTACAGACCAGCTGCTTGGGGGAGCAAGACAAGATGACCCAACTCTGATTAGTCAGAGCTCAAGATTCTCCACCTGGGAGATTGTCTGCAACAGGTAATGGCATACGTCCTGCTTAAGAGAGACTGTCTTAGGTCTAAGAGATGGAGATTGTATTTCTTTATATTTGTTTCTAATGCACATGGGGTTCTGTTTACATGTTCCTTAAAATAATTTTCCAGTGGGAAGTAGAATTTTTTAAATTCTAAATGCTTAATGGAAAAAATAGATATATCAAAAGCACATTTGTGAGTTGGATATGCTCAGCCATCATTTTGAGATCAACTTTTTAAAATTGGGAGTAGTTCTTGCATTCAGTCAACATTTCTTAAGTACCAATCATACTGTAGGTTATCCACTACTACTGGAAATATAAGAATGAATAAAATACATTTGAATACCATTTTGAATTTACAAAGATTGACTTCTTGTAAATGAATTGATGCTCAAGCTATAATAGGTGAATGTGTGAGGCGAAGAAGAGAATCCAAGTCCACAAGGGGTGGAGAGGATGGTTGTGAGGCTGAAGGAGGCACAGACCTCAGCCAGGTGTAGGGGAGTGAGTAAGGTGTGTGTGGGGGGAGTGGCAGGTATGGCCTAGGTGAGGGAGCATCACATGTGAAGCTAGAAACAGCTCTGGAAACAGCCTGGTATGGTTGGCCCACAGGAGGCTTGTGAAGTGAGCATAAGGCAGGATGGGGGGGAAGGAGCAAAGATAATCTCTGAACCCCTAAAGACCACATGAGCTGATAAGTAGCCTGTAGTTCAGGAAGAATTCTGTCTCAAAGACTCCTTGACTTGTTTGTTTTTCTAGAGACAGTACAGTAATTCCTCAGCCTTGGGCTATATGTTCCAAGACCCCCAGTAGATAATACTGAACGCATATATACTATGTTTTTTCATATACACACATACGAATGGTAAAGTTTAATTTAGAATTAGGCATAGTAAGATATTTACAACAACAATAAAAGAATAATTATAACAATATACCATAATAAAAGTTACAAGAATGAGGTCTCTTTCTCTCAAAATAGCCTAATTCTTTAATGCGCCATGTAATATTATCATATCGGAGTTGACCTCAGGTAACTGCAAAAGTGGAGAACAAAACAGATAAGGGGGGACAATTTTGATACAGGAAAAGCTTCCTTAAGAGACCCCTCTGCCTTCCTCTATTCATTTCTTTTCTCCAAAATTCCCACACTTTTAGCCCCACCTCTCTATGTTGTGTTTTTAGGCTTCCCAGTCCACCCCTCAGATCCACTGTCATCACTGAGCCTGAGCAGGCCTGTGCCCAACAACAGAGACCCATCTTCTGTACCCCACACACATCCTACTGCCCTGGGTCAGGGCTCCACAATAAGTTGGACAACCTAGTAATTTTCCCATGACTTCACTTTACTCCATAAAATTCCATTTCCCATCATGCCTTGGGATATTAATAGGTGATATGTAAAAAAGAGGTGTCTGTGATCATATAAGTTTATAGAATGCTGAGTTCAAAAGTTTTTTAAATTTTGGAATCTCTCTGAGTCTTCAATAGATAAGTGTATTCTTCAAGAGGAACACAAACATATCAGGCCCTAAGAGTCCTATTTCATAGCCCATCTCCCTGGAACACACTATGGGAAATGCTGCCTTGGAGGCCTGTTCTAGCTATTGTTTAGGTCCCGGCCTCTCCTGTTGCATACGGGTGCTAAGTTTTCTCACACCTAGTACTACTCTTTAAAACTCACACAGTAACATCTTTAAAATTCTGTTTCTGTCAATGAACCAATATTCTGACAGTAGAATTCCAGGTCCTCAGTAGCACACAGAATGTTTTATGGGCCTGGGACCCTTTTAGTCCTACTTTACCACACAACTATTGATATCCTATTATCTTCAAATAGTTCCCACATCAGGGTTCCTTCTTTTTAAAAAAGTGTTAATTTATCAATATACCTTAATACGTATATACAGTGTATAGTATCAAATAGAGGTAGCTAACATTTCATCTCCTTAAATATTAAAACAAATTAATTTTGGCTAATACATTTTCTCTGTATAGTTCCATCTGTTTTTACTCTGTCCTCTGTCTTCAGTGTAATTAAAATGCTTTCCTACCTCTACATAGTCATTTCCACTAAAACTGGCTTGGCTCAGCATCATACAGGTCACCCATCTCTACATTCAGTCACTTCAGATTCAAATGCACACAATAAGAGTCACCAGGTTGCCTTATAAGCCCTGCTGTCTTTTCAATGAAATGATAATTAGTATCACATTTATTCCTATATTCATATTTTGAAATGTTTTAGTCCATAATTACTTTCAAGGGTAGTATTTTTACCACATATTTTTGACCTTTATAAAGTAATTAATAAAATTATACCCTGATCATGACCCTGATTGTTTGCTTGGTCTGAATTGATGATATAAGACATTGTTTTTAATCTTATAAATCTTAGCTTGGATGACTACAATCACCGGGTCACCCTGTGTAATGGAACCTATGAAGGCTTCCTGAGAAGAAATCAAGTGGGAAGAAATAATGAGAAATTGCCAAGCTTGAAAAACATACAAGACTGCTTGTCCCTCCAGCAGTTTGACAATCCTCCTTTCTACCAGAACTCTACCTTCAGCTTCAGGTTGGTGCTCTGAGCTCCTCTGTAATAACTCCAGAGTTTCATGCTTGTGGTTGTAATGGACTGGACAGAGAGCCAGGTATTGGGGGACATCTACAAAGCTAAATATTAAAGAGGTGCTTAATAGAGAGGTTAACTAGGGATTGAAGTTAGGAAAGTCTTTACCCACCCTGTATAACTAATATGTTAGTATTATTAGCTTCTATGTTGTTAAATGCCATCTCTTGTATTTGTAATTTCTGTATACCAATAAGTGTTACCTTTGGAACCAGAGCATTTCATTAAGTATAATAACTTAAAATGATCATGCTTTTTACTTTCCTTTTCTTTCTTATTTTTATTTTATTTTATTGGCAGTGCTGGGGTTTGAATTCAGGGCTTTGTGCTTGCTAGGCATATGCTCTAACACTTGAACCATGCCTCCAAACCTTTTTTGCTTTAATTATTTTTTAGATAAGAGTCTCATGCTTTTTGCCTGGGGTTGGACTCAGGCAGTGATCCTCCTGACTTCTGCCTCCCAAGTAGCTGAGGTTATAAGTATGTACCATCATGCCTAGCTCTCTTTTTATGTTAACATTAATATTGGGGTCTGAAAACAAGTATTGCTTACTAATTTCAACTCAAATTATTGCACAGTAATGGCATTCCGATATTTGAAAGTTAAAGCTCAACTATTAACTCTCTCCCACCTCAAAAGACTTTAAGAATTATGAGAAATAAATACAGAAATAAGATTTTAGGAAAGATGAATGGGGCTTCCAAAAAGGGGTGGTTAATAGGTTCATGGAGTTCTCCAAAACTGATTTCTGTCTCTTTCTCTCAACTCTATGTAAATCACATAACTTGCTTGGGGCCAGGGGGAGGGTGTGCAGAAATTGTGCTAAGTGTAAAGTAGTGTCAAAGGTAGGTAAAGGGAAGCACTAAGATTGTTTTGGAAAGGAACATGCATTCATTTTTCACTATGATAAAAATGCTGTTAAACTTGATTGCATTTCCTTTAGATTTGAGTTAGGGGTGTGGTATTGAAAACGTGGTGCTCAAACCACCATCATTATCATTAGCCAAGATTTGGTTAGAAATACAATTTATTGGATCCCAGCCCTTACCTGCTGAATCAGAAACTCTAGGAGGAGGGGACATGAAATATACATTTTTCTTCAGTAATCCCAAGCTGTGCTTAGATTGGAGGATCACTGAGCCAGAATGTGGATGTTTAGAATTTCCTAAAAATGGGGAGAGAAAAGGGAGAAGGATAAGGGAATGTTGAATAACTTAGAGTCAAGACAAAGGTCTATTTCATTGAGAAATATGAATATGAGATTATATATTAATTTAAAAATTTTATTGATCATAGACTATGTGCAGGGTAGGATACAGAGCTCTAGCAATAAAAATGGGAAGAAAACACAGACCTTCTCCTTCAAGGGCATGAGAGACAGGTATGAAGGTAAATAATTGTCACATGATATCCCAAAGAGATACAATTTAACTAAGCATGTGCAGAAGTAGCACTGATTACAAGTCCCCTCTCCTTCTGAAAGATTATCATTAAAGGTTGGGGCTAATTCTTAGTTAATTAGCTATGACAGAACTTCTCATATCCCTATTCAATCTCAGAAGACTACCTGAACTGGAAACAATAAATAGAGACAATCTTCTCCTATTGTCAATGACATGCTGGTTTCTTCCAGGAACGCCCTGGAAGGATTTGACAAATCAGATGGGACGCTGGACTCTCAAGGGATGAACCTTCATAATTTGGTCCATGCCTTCTTGAATGGGACGAATGCTTTGCCACACTCAGCTGCCAATGATCCTGTTTTTGTGGTATGTCCAGAGACTCAAGCTAGATAATATGTTGGATTTGTTTGTTTTTCAGTAAGAGTAAGGTTTGGTGGTGTCCCATTCTCTGTGTGAATAATGTGCTGTGTACACATATAAATTCATTTTAATCCACACCATACGGTTAGATAACATTTGAAGCTCTTAATCAGAAATCTGTGCTTCCGGGATGGTTAGCTTTTAGAGGAACTTAGATAGGAATTTACAATCCAGAGGTAAGTTCACAAATTAACATAATGTCATAATTTAGGAAACTTTGCATAATAAATTAGCATAACTGTAAATGATTTTTCATTGACTTAATGAATAATGTTGAAAGTGTTAATTCTATACAAACTACCTTCAATGAGTTGCCTACAGGCAAGAAAGGTCTAGTAGCCAAAAAAGAGAAGGAGAAGAGGTGCTGGATAGATGAAAACTACAAATGCCTTCAATGATGGCAAATAATCCAAAAGCTCACATTTGGTGTTACTTACTTTGTTAATTGGCTTCATACTTCTAGGATATGAGACAACAAGTAGAGAGAGAGTTTCTTCTAACTATAGAGGAGCCTCATGGTTCCTTACCATTCTCAGTGTGATGAACTCCTTTGATGTGTATGAATCTGACTTCTCACTTTGAAACAAAAGGAAACCTTCAGCAATCATTGACAATGGAAGTGTGAATTTTAGAATTCCAAGCTGTACTGTTTTTTAAGATAGGTACAAAATGGCAGGTAAGACAGTGAAGGCCACATTGTTCAGATGCCTTTAGTCAACACCCTACAACCAAAGGCTTCTGGGAGTGCAGCTGTATAGTTGTCTCTCCATCCTTTTGTCTATGGTTTGGTTACCCATGGTCAACCATAGTCTGAAAGAAGAGAGAGACAGAACATAGTTAAATACATTTTCTTACTGTATGTCATTATTATTGTATTATTTTAGTGTTCATTAATTTTGTACTGTGTCTGTTTTATAAATTAAATGTAATCATAGGTAAGCATGTATAGTGAAAAACATATAGGATTTGGTCCTGTCTGTGGTTTCAGGCATCCACTGGGGGATTTGGAATGGAGGATGCCTATGTTCCACTATTATGGGTGAACTTAATGGGTTTATTATTCCTTGCAAGGAGAAAGTAGAGGATGTTGGAAAAGACTGGCAGGATTTGGGCTTATGCTAGGTGTTTTGGGGGAAAACATAAGGGAGCTTTGCTCTAGGTCAGATGCTGTGAGGAAGCAGGGCAGTTCTATGACTAAGTATCTCAATAGCTTTTATCTACAGGGGACAGACTAGACAGAGGGCATTGTGAAAGCAGCAGCGGTCATTCATACTTGGCCATAAAGGGGATGCTCTGTATTTTGTGGCTTGGACAATGCTTACATTTTGTCTATGCTCAGGCATATTATGGAATTACCTTGTTTTTGTCCTCATCCATTATGGTCACAGAGTGCCTTATCTGATTTTGATATTCTATGAAATTGTTTGTGTCTGACTGGAAGCATCAAAGCCTGGTTGACAGTACAAGGGCAGCTTTTGGATGTTGAGGGCTGCTTTTTTCTTTCTCAAGCACCTCACTAAAGTTGGATTAGGAGGTTTCTACAACATAAACATTTGTGTGGAACCCAGCAATGGTTCTGCTTTGCAGACACTTAAATCACCATAATTTACTTTAATACCATCTGTCTTAAGAGTTATGTGTTTCAGATAGATGATTTGGGAGCCATTACAAGAAGAAATTTCACCTCTTGCCCTTTTTTATTTTACCTGTATTTTGAGTTTAGGCTGTAGTCCCAAACACTGTTTTTTTCTTCCAGAATTTTCCTCATCTCAGTGTGAATCTTAGGAATGTGTCTTAGTCTGTTCAGGCTGCCATAATAAAATCCTACAGACTGGATGGCTTAAACAACAGACATTTATATCCACCAGAAGGCAAAGATTAAGGCACCATTCATCTTGTTTCTGTTGAAGTCTGCCTTCCTGGGCCTTTTTGTTGTGATGTCAAAAGGGAGAGAGAAAGAAGGAGGTGGGAAAGAGAGAGAGAGAGAGAGAGAGAGAGAGAGAGAGAGAGAGAGTTTTCCAGCTCTCCAATGTCTCTTCTTACAAGGGCACTAATCTTGTCATATCAGGGCCCTCCCTTAGGACCTCATTAAACCTCATTTAACTCCTTACAGGCTCCATCTCCAAATGTGGGCAATCAGGGCCTAGGGCTTCAATATAGGAATTTGGGGGATCAATTTAGTTCAAAGCAGCATCAGTTTATAGCAATTTGTTTTTCTGAACTCCTGGGATGCTACATGATATATGAAAGAGCACTGGATTGCATGTCAAGTTGGCTCCATTTAATCTTAACTTGTGGAATCTTGGGAATGTCATTGAACACTGTGGAGTCTCTGTTTTCCACTTTGCACCGTGGGTCACATGACCTGATCTTGGGGGAGTATTAGGGGGGAAGTGCTGTGTTTATTAAGGCAACTCTTAATACATCAGGATGATATGATGATGCTTTAGAAACTGTCCAGGACTATACTAATGTTATAAAAATAATATGGTGCTTTATAGTAGTCAGTGGGAGAGAATGAGAGAACTATGTGTTGGGTTTGACTTCCCAAACCTCAATTAAAGTTCCTTATCTTATTCTGCAGAGTAGATAGCGATGTCCTAAGGCAATTGATCAGCAAGCACAAAGTCGGAGTGATTTCAAACATGATTTATTGTTCTTTTTTTTCTGAACTTGGGGTACAAAAAGGAGATATGAACAGTGAGAGTGAAGGTAGTTTCCAATGCCTTTAACTTTTCCCGGTTACATGAAAGATGGAGTCTCCCATACCTAAGTAGCTTTCTGGGGCTTCCAGAGCAATTAAAGCATGGTAAAGATGAACTTCAGGAAATTTGGAGATAGGAGGAAGTGGTAGAGCTGGTCCTTCCTTCTAAAATTGTTTCCTCCTCAGATTTTTGTGGTCACAATAAATGACAGGGTTATGGACGATTGCACCCCAGCAGCAACCAGGTGGGGCTCCTGATGAGACCTCTGCAGCCACCTTTGTCATCTCTAGGACTCCTGCCTTGTGTGAGGGTTCTCACTTGATATTTCAGAGCACTTTTTCTGGCTACTACCTCATTCATCAGCTTGTAACATGCATTTCTGGCATCTGCTTTCTCTGCTATTTATCTATACGGTGTGTCTCTAAGTATTAAAACATTTTCAGCTAGATATTTTGTGCACACAATGCATATTTATAAGGCGAATGTCATTTCTCTTCCAGTATTTCAAAATGTTGAGTAGAATCATGAGATCCTCTGACAAATTGAGGATGATAGCCCAAACCTTTCTCTTTTCCTAAGGAAATAGTGGTGAGCTAGTAGTTTGATTTCTTCTATTCCAAGGCTAGTTCCTTCTTTGGACAAAGCCCACAAAGTGCACAGGGATTGGCAAAATTTTTCTGTAAGTGGCCAGACAGTAAATATTCTTGACTTTCCAGACCAGTTGCAACTACTAAACTCTGCCACTGTAGCGTGAAAGCAGCCATAGAAATGCATAGGCAAATGAGTGTGGTGTCCCAATAAAACTTTATTAAGGGAACAGACGGTGGGCCCATGTGATATGTTTCTGTGCTTGACTTATTTAACTTAATGTCCTCACGCTTTAGTATGCCAACCCTGACCCTTAGAGGGATATAGGGATCGCTCTCTTCCTCTCTCTCTCTCTGTCTCTCTTTCTGATTATGTTTTTTTTTCTTGAAACAAAGTCCTAGACTGGCCTTGCATTCATCCTCCACCCTCAGCCTCACACAAAATTTCTTTAGTCACATTCTTTCTGCCCTAGGAGAGAACCCACATTTCAACTTTATGGATAGGCAAGCCCATGACTTATATGCAGCTCAAAGATATTACATGCTTAATCATGTTCACCTTCAGTACATTAATATCCTTGATAGCTAAATTTTTGTTTAGTAATAATGTTATCTTATGTGTATAAGTAAACAAAAAGCCACAGACTTTGTTTGCAGGTGCAGAAGGAATAATGTTTTCACTGATTCCAGAACACACACTTACTTTAGGCTATTTTATGTTGAAGCCAATTCAGCTTTAAATGACTTTTTTGCAAACTGAGATTTAGGTTAAAGCATTTTACTTAACAGTGTTACAGCTTCTGGAATTTCAAATTCATGAGAAAATTCATCCAAATATGTTGCATACAACATTTATTAAAACGATTTTTTAGGAGATTTCTTTAAGCAAGAAAAGTACCAAATTGTGTCTGACCACAAAATGAATAAAAGAACACAGAACACTAAAATGAAGGAAAAGCTTTGAACCAATCTCTGAAATTCTAATAATTCTTAAGACAATTGAAGCAAATGCACAAATTTATCATAGAAAATAAGATTAGGCCAAAGGAATGCTAAGTAGTGCTACCTTAAACATTAAATTTAGATATAATCCAGAAAAGAAAGAAAATAGGAAACCAGTAGACTGTGAAGTTAGTTAACTGCCAAGAAAGAAGCTATGTTAGAGATGATGACCAATATTCTTCACAATCCTTGACAATGCTCATCTTAAAAATATATCGACTGACATCATACAGTAGTTATCTTTCTATGTTTGGCTAATTCCTGTTAACATAATACCGTTCAAATTCATGTATGTTATTGCAAATGACAAGAAATTATCCTTTTTAAAAAATAACCAGGTAGTATTCTATTGCATATATGCACCACATTTTAAAAATCCATTCTTCTGGTGGACTCAGGCTGATTCCATGTCTTGGTTATTGTGAATAATGCTATAATAAACAAGAGAAGGCAGATGTTTCTTTGACATGCTTATTTCATTTCCTTTGAATATATACCCAGAAGTGAGATTGCTGGATCATGTGATAGTTTTATTTTTAATCTTTTGAAGAATATCCATACTGTGTTCCGTAATGGCTCTGGTAATTTTAAAGCAACACTGTGTAAGCGTTCCTCTTTCAACACTTGCCATGTCCTGCTTTTGGTAATAGCC